CCCCCAGGACGTTAAGAAGCCAATTTTATCAGCGGTGAAGGAATCAGCTCTACTGTGTGCACCTCTGCAGCGGTCAGTGGTTTAAGAGAAATTAATTGATCAGATTTGTAATCCATGTTCAAATGCTCCAGAAAAAATTGGTTTCGGAATCTTATTAGCTGAATAAATTTAATAAATTGAGCATTAAAAAAAAAACACCCAACAAAAGCTTAGAGATGGAGATAAGTTATAGCCTGGGACCCTTCAAGGAAAGGACATCTCTAAAAAGGGAATTTTGGCTCCACAATCACAGGTGACTGAGGGGCAGGGCTGTTTGTGAGGGGAAGATGTTCAGTTTGGTTTAAGAAAAATCTAAATACTCAGCTGCACCTACTAGGGACCAGGCTTATGCTGAGTAATGAGAACTCGGGGTGAATCAGGCCCTGCCCCACCGTGTTCAGAGCCTTGGGGGCAGACACAGGTGTGATACTCAGACCGCAGGGCAAGGCATGTCGGACACACATGGGGCAAGAGAAGGGCAGACACCAGCTCTTGTAGAGTGCCCTTGGCGCTGTGCTGGCCCTTCCAACAACCCAACAGGTAGGTACTATCATTCCCATTTCACAGATGAAGAAACTGAGGCTCAGAGACATTAAATGTCTTGACCGAAGTCACACAGCATAACAGTTACGGGTCCAGGATGGAGCCCAGGCTGCCTGCCTCCCACAGCCCCCCACACTGCTCCCTCCCAGGTAGCATCGCCTCCCCAGGCAGGTGGGGGCGCCTCACCCGCTTCACAGGCAGCCCAGGACCGTCTTGGTTGGCTCAGCATTCATTCAACAAACGTTTATCACTCGCCTTTTTGTATTCAGGGCCTTTTGCTCAATACTGAAGATACAGAGGTGACCAAGGGGACAGTGAACCTGGAAATATTTAAAGCAGAGTCCCTAGTATAAGTGCTACAATATGGGGGGGGGAGAACAGGGAACTCAGAGGGGGACGCAGGAGAGGAGAAGGGGGCTTCCTGAAAGAAGGGGTGCCCCAGCCAGAGCATCAGCAGGTATTTGGGGGCAGAGATTGTGAGCAGAGGGGATGGTGATCTAGACAGAAGGGAATTGTGAGGAAAGACGTGGCAGTTTACATGGAAAATGGGGAGGTGGGTTACGTGGGTACCAGCAAGCCCGTGTGCCTGTGATGTCACGAAGCTGCCCTCTAGATTTGCAGTTTCTGGGCTGGAGAGGAGCAGGAGTAGGGGGCAAGGGTGGGGGACACTGAGAGGGCACGCAGCTGCAGGGAAGCCACAGGCAGCTCCTCCTGAGCCCCATCCCTGCCGCCCAGCCCCGGTGTGGGCGGCAGGGACACGCCCATCTGGAATCCCTAGCTCATTTCTGAGGAGCGGGAGCTGCTGTCCCATCTTACAGATGCGGAAACAGAGACTGACTTACCCAAGGTCCCCGAGCCACAGGGCTGGTGAGTGGCTGAGTTGGGATTGAGATCAGGGCCTTTCACCCGGGGCTCCAGAGCCCCTGGGGGCAGGAGGGGCAGGAGGGGGAGGGAGGCAGGAAGTCCTTCCACCCTGACCCCCTCTGCCTCTGGTCAGTGTCTGCAGCGTCCCTGGAGAGGCCTGCCCCAGCCCGAGCACTCCCTGCGTGCTCACCCCTCCAGGCTGGCAGCTCGCCCGTCTCCACACTGAGAAGCCCATTATACAGATAAGTAAGCTGCGGCTCGGAGAGAGCCAGAAGTGGTGGGGCCAGGCATTGAGCCCGAGTCCGCCTGATGCCAGTGCCACCCTCCCGTGGCTGGGTCTGCTTCTCAGTGCTGCTTCTACGGCTTCCTCCTGGTGGGAGGGGCTCGCGGAGAGGAGGGGACCCCACTGTTGCTCCCGCCCCTCCCACGCATGCTCTTAGCAGCTCTCACCCTTGCATGGCAGACAAAGGCACCCCATAATTGGGAGCGAGTATTTCATGTGTCCCCCCTGATGTTTTATTGGGAGGAGAGATGCTCAGAGACCAAACGGATGGCACATTCCGTTTATAAAGTGTGCGCAGTTTGTTTTATTTCCCGAGTTTTTGCAATCTAGATAACAGATGACGCCCCGAGTGGCTGGCGCTGCCTCGGTAATGGCGGCGCTGAGCCTTTGGAGAAGTATTAATAATAGATTGTGTTGATGAGTTTGGAGAAAGTAGCAATCGACCCCCTGCTGCCAAGGCATTAGCGGGGGCTGTTCTGAACGCGCCTGCACCGTGGCAGCGCCTGCAAATGCGGGTCACCTGCCCTGCGGCCCCTCCCCCAGCCCAAGGGGCGCCGCCCGAGGTGTGCTGACCTCTGCCTGAGCCCGGCCGCGCCACGCTGGTGCAGAGATGCGGCCCCTGCCTGTCCACTCGTGGGCCGCAGGCCCGCTGCAAACCTTACTGGAGCCTCGAGGACAGGAGGTGGAGTGTGGGGAGGGGACACGGACAGTGCTAGGGCGGGACAGAAGTGTCCCTAGAGCAGCATGCCCTGCAAGCCTGGCTCCTTCGCCAGCCCCTGGGCAGAGCTGGATGGGGCCTCTGCCTGGGGCTGCCATGGACAGTTGGGTAGGTTGTACCCTGAACAGAGGTATCCGGCCAAACGGCCAAATCAGAGCCCAAATCCAGCTCAGGTTCTTCCTGCGAAGTCACACCCTGTGTAGGCTGGAGGGTCCTGTCTGCCTGGAGCACACAGCCAGGCCTGAGCCTCGGCCCACACCCCGCAGCTGCTCACCTGCTTCATAAACACTCACAGAGGCTCCCTGAGGATGAGGTGCAGCGAGGCCCTGCCTGTGGAACCCCATAGCACTGATAGGGGCACGTGCTGTCACTCCCATGTGACGCTCATACGCCAAGTGACATGAACAGCATCACTGAATTCTGACAACAGCCCTTTGAGGGATATCCTGTTGACACCTCGTTTTATGGTAAAGGGAACTGAGGCCAGAGAAGCTCAGATGAGCACCGAGGATGCCACCTTCCCAAGACTGGGCCATCAAAGAAGGCTTCCCAGAGGAAGTGGCATTGGAGTTGGGCATCGCGGGATGAGTAGGAGTCTGTGGGGCAGACTAGAGGGCATGGCAGGGTTGCTGGGGGTGCCCCCAGTTTGAGGGCCGAGGCCGGTGCCAGGGGCAGCAGGCAGACAGGACTGGCCCTGTCCGCGGCACCTCGCCAGCTCACTGTGGGCGGCGCTGATGGCAGCCCCGGGAAGGGAGGCAGGCCGAGTGCTCGCATTTATGGCTGTTCCAGAACCGATTAGCGGAGAATTGCAGCTGTAATCTGTGCCTGCGATGGCGGCCCATAAAGAGGGATGGGATGTGCGCAGCGCTCCCAAGGTGGCGCCCACAGACGTGGCCCGGGGACGCGGGGAATGAAAAATGGTTTTAATTCCCTCCCAGCAGCAATAATTTGGTTCTTCATAAATTTTTCCATCAAAGTGTTGTTGAGGCTGAGTTCCCACAGAGCAGGGCACGCGGCAGGGCTGGGCGGCCAGGAGAGCGGTCAGTGGGAGTGGGCGCAGGAGGAGCCGAGCTGCTCAGAGCCTCTGCAGCCCCCGGGGCTGTGTGTCCCAAGAGGGGAGATGGGCCAACTCTGTCATGGAGGGACCAGATTAGGTCCAGGCTCAGAGTCGGCTCTGCTCATTTACTACTCATGTGACTCTGAGCAGGTGACTCCACCTCTCAGCACCTCAATTTCCTAATCTCTAAAGTGGGATTAGTGTTTCTTCCTGTCTCGTAGGGTTGCTGCAAGGATTAAATGTGTTTCTGCAGGCAAAGTGCTTACTTAGAGCAGGGTGCCGCACATGCTCAGTACATACAGCTCTTCATAGCAGCAGTGCTTGNCCTAATCTCTAAAGTGGGATTAGTGTTTCTTCCTGTCTCATAGGGTTGCTGCAAGGATTAAATGTGTTTCTGCAGGCAAAGTGCTTACTTAGAGCAGGGTGCCGCACATGCTCAGTACATACAGCTCTTCATAGCAGCAGTGCTTGAACTGAACAGAGGATAAGTAGGTGTTAGCCAAGCCCAGGGCCAGAAAATGAAAGAAAGAAAGAAAGCAGGTGTTAGCCAAGCCCAGGGCCCGAGAAANAAAGAAAGCAGGTGTTAGCCAAGCGCATGGCCTGAGAAAGAAAGAAAGGCCAGTGTTTCGGTGCTCTGGGGAAACTGCAGGCTGTTCCGTGGGGCACAGCCTGGGGGAGCAGAGGGGGCGAGAGAAGAGGCAGGATTGTGAAGGGTTCTGAGTGCCAGACTCAGGAACCTGATGTCCTCCCCAGGGCACTAGGGAGCCATGTAAGAGTCTAGAGCAGGGAAGCAGCATGACCGGTGTGTGTTTTAGACAGATCTTTCTGGCTCTCATCCTGCAGGGTGAAGGGTTGGAGGGGCCAGGAGCCCAGGGAGGAGACTGGGACAGTCACTCAGAAAAGAGAGGAGGGCCCCATGCTGGGTGGTAGGTTGAACAGGGTGGGGATTGCTTGGATGTGGGGGTGATGGAGGGGCAGGGGAGAGGTGGAGCAGGTCCTGGAATGAGGGTGGCTGGACCTGTGGGCAGGGCACCCTGGTTCTGGGGAAGGGTTGAGGCTAACCTTGTACTCTGCCCTCTAGTGGCCACTGTGTTTCTGAGCAGGAAGGGCCCTGAGCTGACACACACAAGAGAGGGCACCTCTGGGCAGGATGCCCAGCGCCCACCCTGAGGCCACTGGGTCCTGCAAGCCAGAAGAGTAGGGCTGCAGGGCCCTCCCCACATGGCTCTGTGCCCAGGGAGGTCTTCTCCCACTTGGGCTGGAGGGTCAAGGTGGTGGGAGGGAGAGGCTCTCGGGAGGCATGACCCCTGGGAGGAACCCCTGAGCCCAGGTAATGTGCCCGTCTGTGCACCCGCAGGCTCTTCGCAGCCAAGTGCAGCGGCTGCATGGAGAAGATCGCCCCTACGGAGTTTGTGATGCGGGCACTGGAGTGCGTGTACCACCTGGGCTGCTTCTGCTGCTGCGTTTGTGAGCGGCAGCTACGCAAGGGCGATGAGTTTGTGCTCAAGGAGGGCCAGCTGCTGTGCAAGGGTGACTACGAGAAGGAGAAGGACCTGCTCAGCTCTGTGAGCCCCGACGAGTCCGACTCCGGTGAGCCTGGCTGGAGCCGGGGGCCGGCGCAGGGCCGGCGGCTGGGCAGGGTGCTGCGGGCGGGTGAAGCTGCGGGGAAGCCCACTCATGACCCAGGACCTGGGCTACACAGACTACGCACCCACATCCGTGTGCACATGTGCACTAATGTCTTCACATATACTCGTGCACGCGGGCAGGGACACATGGACATTAATGTGCACACACTCCCACAGACACACAAATGCACCTGTGGACATACCTGTGCATATGTGTACATGCATGTGATCATAAATGCACACACAAGCACATAAAATGCACATGTGAGTACCCATGCCCAAGAGTGTATAAACACGGGCACATGGACATGTATAGGCATGTTTTCCCATGCACAAGCATGCAAAAAACTCACTCCCAGGTATGCAAACACACACACGTGTGTGCATAACCTAGCGCGCACATGCAGTAAGCACTATGCATATGGCTATGCACATATTTAGCCACATGCTCACATGTACTGTGGTTTGCACATGTGTGCACACACACAACCTGCTCTCTGGCCCACCATGCTCCTTCTTTGTCTTTCTTGCGTTGGCCCCCACGGTGGCACAGCACCAGGTCTGCAGGCTGCTGTTGGCTGAGAGGCAGGGATCTGATGTGTCCCCTTGCCTTTGGCTCCCCAGGGCCTTCAGCAATGGGAGCAGCAGCCCTGAGCTCTTCCCTGTTTCCCAGATGGATGGGGAGCCTAGGGCTCTCTGTGATGGAGGGAAAGACCCCATTTCCCAGGGCGAAGGCCCCTCTCTACTCTGCTCCCAGTCCCAGAGGACTGTGCCAGTTTTGAGCCCTCCTGGCAGGAAGGGTCAGCCAGGAAGGACTCTTAAAGTGGGAAAAATCAGAGCGGTGGCTGGCACCTTGTCATTCCGGGGTGGTGGAAGGATTGGAGCAGGGAGCATGGAGAAGGGATGACCCCTGGGCCCTCGGGATCACCTGGAGCCCATGTCACAGGATCAGCACATGTCACTGCCAGGACCTTTGGTGGAGGCAGTGAGCACCCATCCATCTATCCTCTGTCCAGCCCTGGGCAGGGTTCCTCTTCAGGTGTGTGGGTGCCTGGTCGTCCTGCCTGTGGGCACGCGCCTGTGTGTGTGCATACGTCTGTGAGCTGCATGTGCTCGAGTGTTGGTGGGTCCACGTGCCAGGCTGTAAGTGTGAGCGCCAGTGTGTCTGATGTGTCTGTCTGTCTGCCACGGTCATGGATACTCCTGTGTGAGAACATCTGGAGCGTGGTCTTTGCCTGTCCTTTCTCAGGCCTGGAAGCTTCAGGAAGAAGGCTCTCTGGGCCCTGGGGCCTGGCTGGCGCTGGGCTGGCGGAACTGGTTTTCCCCAAGGTTGGCCTTCTGGACCGACGGGGTCTCCAGGGCGCCAGAGGCCAGGCAGGGCAGGTGTCCGGGAGGCGGTGCGTTTCATCAGGCGGCAGGTCCCCGAGGGTGCAAGGCTGACAGGCTGGGCTGTGTCCCCACAGTAAAGAGTGAGGACGAAGATGGAGACACGAAGCCTGCCAAGGGCCAGGGCAGCCAGAGCAAGGGCAGCGGGGACGACGGGAAGGACCCACGGAGGCCCAAGCGACCCCGCACCATCCTCACCACGCAGCAGCGGAGGGCCTTCAAGGCCTCCTTCGAGGTCTCGTCCAAGCCCTGCCGAAAGGTGAGGGGCTGCTGCTGGGGGCGGCGCTCACCCACACCTCTTGCCTTTCTGGACACC